CTTGCCCTCGGCATTCTCATCCACTCCTATGGTTTTACCTACCACCTGTGCCCAAATTCTCAAAACTGCCCGCGGGCCAGATGGCCCTTCTGAGCCCTAGACTTAGATATCCTCTCCGTGTGGACACTGCACAGGCTTCTCACATTCAAAATATCCAGTATCCCTCCTCCAGCACAGACGAGCTTAACAAGTGGCACCAGAGCACCTTAATACTCCCCCTGCACCTCCCCTCCCCATATACAGCTGAGCACCCAGACTTGCCCTGGCACTTTGCACATCTGCCCACCTACCCTCCAGGCCTGGGCCCTGGTGCCGGTCACCACGGGGATTGCTGCGGTAACTGGGCCTGCTTCTTCCCCTCTTGCACCCATCCAATGCAGTCCACAGTGGCCAACAGTCATCTTAAAATACGAATCTGAATGTCACATTTTACTCTTAGGAGTTGGCATGAAGTCCAAAATCCTCAACGAGCATATGCCAACACACAAGGCCAGGCATAAACTATATCCTGCCAGCCTTTCCACCTTCACCATGAATCAGTCCCAGCTCTGCTCTCCAGACACGTGGGCTCCTTCCGCCTGGTGGGGGTGCCCCACGCCCCACGCCTCGATCTTACCTTCTAGGACTCGGCAGTGTCCCTCCTCCAGGACTTCCTCATCTAGATCATCACCTCCTCAGTCTCAGCTCTTACCACAGAAGTTGGTTGTCCACTCCAGACTGGAAGCTCCATTCGGGCGGTGGGTTTGTCTGCTCTGCTCAGCTTCACGTCGGTCGCCTTGGGCTCTGAAGATGTTTTATATGCATTTATTCAGTGAATGTGGGGAAAGGATCCAGAGGGGATAGACAAGTGTGGCGGGCACGACAAAAAGAGATGCAGACAAGAATTCTGAAAGGGACAAACAGACTCAGCCTGCAACGGGAGGGGTCGCAAGCAGGACAGACCGGCCGGGGCGGAGGGCAGGGCAGCCGGACGCGCGCGGCAGCCGGTCGGGGCAATAGCTGCGCCCGGGAGCGCAGCGCCTGCCAGGCGGCGCCTCCGCAGGGGGCGCCCATCGCCTGGGGCGTGGCCTCGCGCAGCCCCGCCCTCCTCGCCGGCGACGGGGCAGGCGGGCGGCTGGCAGCGGTGGCACCGCCATGGCTGCGCTGGTGGAGCCTCTGGGGCTGGAGCGGGGTAAGCGCGCGCCGGGGGACCCTGCCCACCAAGCCGCGGCCCGCGGCTCCTAGTCCCGGCCCCGCCCCGGGCCAGGCCGGCGCTGGTGGGCGGTCGTACCCGGCGGGGTGGGCGGGGCGGGCGCTCTGTGGGTGTGGGAGGGTCCGTGGGCGAAGTGTGTGTGTGTGTGTGTGTGTGTGTGTGTGTGTGTGTGTGTGTGTGCGCGCGCGCGCGCGATCCTGGGGACTGCCACCCGGCTGGTCGCAGTCTCTCCCTTGCCACCGTTGACTCTGCGGGATGTCCGACTGTGCTTCGCTGTCCTTCCCGGGGTCTGTCTGCACTCGCCCTTACTCGATCTGTCGCTGCTCCTCTCGGTGGTTCTCTGCGTCTCGCTGTCTGACTCTGTGTGTCCGTGCGCCCCCGCCCCCGCCCCCGCCCCGCAGACGTGTCCCGGGCCGTGGAGCTCCTCGAGCGGCTCCAGCGCAGCGGGGAGCTGCCCCCGCAGAAGCTGCAGGCCCTCCAGCGAGTCCTGCAGAGCCGCTTCTGCTCCGCCATCCGAGAGGTGAGAGTCATGCGCTGGCTGTGGCCCGAGCCCAGGGACTATGCCTCCCTGCAGCTTCTGTGGCGGCCCGCTTTAGGGTGCCCGCGCTTCAGATTCTTTGGGAGTTGTAGTTTCCTCGGCTCCCGTTGCGCGGGCGGGGTGGATCCTTGGGTGGGAGGCGAGAGGGGCTCTGGGGACCTGGACTCCTGTGTCTAGGGCAGGGGGAAGCTGGCGGATCCCTAATGCTGCTGCGTGCTCACCCAGGTGTACGAACAGCTGTATGACACCCTGGACATCACTGGCAGCGCTGAGATCCGGGCCCATGCCACAGCCAAGGTGGGCACCCCCGCCTCACGGCTCTCGCGTCCACTGGACTGTCTGGTCTGGCCCAGTATCTTCCTAATGCCAGGCATTCCCGTTTCCTTCTTCATGGTTTTTGCCAAATCTATGTGCCATCCTTAACTGTTAATAAATAATGGCACATTTCTAACTTAAATGTCATATAAAGGCATCTTCAGCAACTACAGATGGAAACCAGTATGGCATGCCCAGCTAGAAGATAGCCCTCAACATCTGTACAATGAAAACAAGGGAAGTTGGGGAACACTGACATCTTACTGAACTATAGTTAGACACTACTTCTTGTGCCTGGAAGCTCCCTCCAGGCCTTGTTTTCTTCTGTCAAAAAGCAAGGCTGGCAAGTGTAGGGTATTGATGCCACACTCACACCAAATGGAGACTTTCTCCTTGGCATGGCAGAAGCACACACAGGGAACCGAAAGGACACGCAGTCATTACAGGCGTAATCTTGTGTTGAGTCATGGCACGTGTCTTGTGCTTGAGGGTAGCAATCTGACCTAAATCGCTTTCCCTGGCCTAGATCGCTCACCCCAGCCTGCACGCCCACCATGAAGGGACCCTCACCTCCTGATGCTTTCTCTCTCCTAGGCCACAGTGGCCGCCTTCACGGCCAGCGAGGGCCACGCGCATCCCAGGGTAGTGGAGCTGCCCAAGACAGACGAGGGCCTGGGCTTCAACATCATGGGTGGCAAAGAGCAGAACTCGCCCATCTACATCTCCCGGGTTATCCCAGGGGGCGTGGCTGACCGCCACGGAGGCCTCAAGCGTGGGGACCAACTGCTGTCTGTGAACGGTGTGGTAAGCAGGGGGCTAGGCTGGGCCGGGGGTACAGTCTGTCCAAGGTAGCATAGTTCCTGCTTTTGACATTCATTCAACACACACTGATTGAGCACTACCTCTGTGGCCAGCCCCATGATGGGCAATGCTGCAGACCCTGAGAGAATTTGGCCTCAGCTCCTACATTCAAGACTCTTCCAGCAGGACATGGTGGCTCACGCCTGTAATCCTAGCACTCTGGGAGGCCGAGGCGGGCGGATTGTTTGAACTCAGGAGTTCGAGACCAGCCTGAGCAAGAGCGAGACCCCGTCTCCACTAAAAATAGAAAGAAATTAATCGGACAACTAAAAATATATAGAAAAAATTAGCCGGGCATGGTGGCGCATGCCTGTAGTCCCAGCTACTTGGGAGGCTGAGGCAGAAGGATTGCTTGAGCCCAGGAGTTTGAGGTTGCTGTGAGCTAGGATGATGCCATGGCACTCTAGCCTGGGCAACACAGTGAGACTCTGTCTCAAAAAAAAAAAAAGACTCTTCCTCTCTGGTAAGTGAGGTCCACCCTGACTGAAACAGTCCTACTCCAGAGACATAATAATGAGGAAGCACAAAGCATTGTGAGAGCCCAGATGTGGCACCAGGCCAGTGTAGCTGTAGGAAGTTTTTGCAGAGTAAGGAATATTTGGGTTGGGTGTTGAAGGATGAGTAGGAATTCTTCAGGCAAACAAGGTGAAGGCTGAGGGTGTTGTAGGTAAGGACTCTGACTTCGCTCTCCTCTGAGCTGAAGAGAAAGGGCTCGGTTCTAAGGGAGGTCTGTGGCATGCACGTAATTAAAATCATTGTGGTCCAAATAGATGGAAGCACTGGATCGGTGGTTGGGGTCAGCCACGCATGCCTTGAGTGCCAGCCTGAGAAGAAGGGACTTTGTCCCATGGATGCTGGGAAGCCATGGGAGGGCTGTGAGTGAGGGAGGGATAAGCTCAGCTTGCAGGTGTAGAAAGATCTGTTTGGGATTTTATGGGAGATGAACTGAGGGGAGAGATGGAAGGTCAGAGGCCAGGGAGGAGACCAGGGTAAGAGTCCAGAGGGGAGAGGACAAGGCCTGAGCTGGGGCCAGGGCTGTGGGGACAAAGAAGAGGGAGTCAGGGCAAGAGGGTATTAGTGGGCTGTGGGGAAGGAGCAACAACGATGGGCCTGGACATCTAGCCAGTGACATCTGAACATGACACAGGGAACCTGCAAGGTTTTGGAGGAGGGCACTGAGGCAAGAGCTAATGACTCGCCCACCAGGAGGACCTGAGGCCTTGGCATCTTGGGGCTGACACCAGGCTCACCAGCAGTTGGTCCCATTTCCTGGTGGGGGCTGGGTGAGGGCAGCACAGGCCCCAGGCCCAGCTGTCTGTGTTGGGCCCCGCAGAGCGTTGAGGGTGAGCAGCACGAGAAGGCGGTGGAGCTGCTGAAGGCGGCCCAGGGCTCGGTGAAGCTGGTGGTGCGTTACACGCCTCGAGTGTTGGAGGAGATGGAGGCCCGATTTGAGAAGATGCGCTCTGCCCGCCGGCGCCAGCAGCACCAGAGCTACTCGTGAGCCCCTTGGTCACCACTGTCCTGGGGACCCCACTGTCTCCCTTTCACCCTGGACTCCCAATCCAGGCCAATGATTCCTGGGATTGCCATCCCCAGCCCTAGCCCTTCTCCTCGGGAATCCTGACCCTTGACCCATGCTCCCACCCCAGGCCATTCTGACCGACTCACCCTAGCTCCCTCATCCCAAGATCTGGAACCCACTCTGGCTGGAATCCCTCCACCCACTTCCCTGGGCCCTTGCCTCTGGAACCCCAGTCCCAGCTCTCGCTCCCCAGGACCCCTCCCTGAGCATGGCTTCCCTCTCTTCATCCCCTTGCAGGTCCTTGGAGTCTCGAGGTTGAAACCACAGATCTGGACCCTCCCCTTCGCCCTCTCCCCTGTACAGTATTTATTGTCACTGGCTCCTTATTTAAAGATCTATGACCCTCACTGCGTGTCTGTGTGTCTGTCCTGCAACCTGGGGTTACAGTGTCTTGAGCCGTGGGGGAGGGAGAGGAACTGAGGTCAGACCAAGCCTGAAGAAGCCCTTTTGCAGAGTCTGAGAGCAGAGGTAGAGACCTCTCCCCAGGTCTGAAGGCGGAGGCGAGCCGGCTTCTAGGGAAAAGTCTGAGGGCGGAGGCTGATACCCAGTCTGGGTCTGAGTGCGGGGGACAGAATTGAAGACAACGCCCCAGACCCTTAAGTCTTAGGGCGAAGGCCAAGCCCCTTCCTCCCGAGTCCTGAAACCTCACAGGAGCCAGTGGGCGGCCTGTGTGTGGGCGGGGCGGAGCGAACCATCAGCCGCGTCCGCCGGGGGGAACCCTGCAGGCCGCACTACCGTCTGCGTGGGAGTCGCGGGTGGGGGCGCCGCGTGCAGTTCCCGAGGCGGGCGCAGGGGTGCAGAATAAGGTGCACTCGCCCACCGGCGGGCACTCCGTCTCCCAAGCAGAGCAGTCGTTCAGGGAGCTGCCCCCGCCTTAAAATCCAACCTTTATCCCCATCCCGCTGCCCGCCCAGTTGTCATGTCCTGTGCAGCGCGAGGGCCGGCGCGCGCCACTGCCGGGATCCGGGGTCGCGACTCGCGTTCCACGCCGCGCGCTACTCGCTCCAGGTGACATCATCCCCCTGCCGAGCTCCGCCTCCCGCCCCAGCCGCCTGACGCCGAGCGCCTATAGGTCGACGTGCCTCACGCCCCGCCTCCCGCTCTCCGCCCGCGCGACCCCTCCCGGCCCGTGCGGAGGCGGGGTCTAGTCGCCGGCCGGCGCCGACGCCGCCTCCCATTGGCCACTCAGCACCGTCTGTCAGTCTCCTGTTAAAGGGGCCACGACCGCCCGGGTGCTGTGGGGGGGAGGGGGAGGGAGGAGGAATTTTTTGGGGGGGAAGGTGGGATTTGGGGGCGCTGGTGGGCACCCCTGGATCTGGCGGCTGCGGCCTCGCGGGGGGAGGCTGAATGGTGACACGGGCAGGGGACTATTTTAAGGGGTAAAGGGCTGTGAGACCGTGACAGGGAGGGGGGTCCCCAGCGCCCAAGCCGGAGCGAGAGACGAGGAGCCCGCGCGAGCGGCGGAGACAGGGCTCCGGAGCTACAGATCCGGGCCCCGGCTGTCTCCAGGGGCCCCGCCCGGTCCCCCCACCCCACCCCACGTCCCTCCTGCAGCCCAGCTCCTCCCGCAGCCGCCGCGGACCAGGTAGGTAAGAGCCCGGCCCGGCTCGCCTGGCAGCGCCCACCCCGGGGACCCCTCGGCGAACCTCCCCCGCCTTCCCAAGATCCTGGATTCTCTTCCTCATCCCTGGGGACCTCAGAGCCCAGATTTCACAGCCCAACCCCAAAGACTCAGGCGTGCCCCTCCCAGCGCCCAGAGTCCCCAACCGAACCCTAGAATCCCAGGCGTACCGCCGCCTTGCGCCTCCTCCAGGGCCCAGGAGCCTGGATCTCCCAGTTCAGCCCCAGGACCCCCCTCTGAACCTAGATCCCCCTTCTCGGCCCAGTCCTGGGAGCTCCAGACACCCGCACGGCTGTGTCAGACTCCCCCGGCCACAGCCGGCTGCCCCCCGTCGCGTCCGCATCGTCCCCCGTTCGCGCACCCTGTCTGCCGGTCTTCAGCCTTCGGCTTCAACAGCCGGTCGCGTCCCTCGGTCCAGGCCGGCTGGGCGGCCGCCCTGGACACAGGCCCGCTCCGGAGCTGTCCATGGTCAGCGCACCCGGCAGGCTCGCCTCCCCCACCTCATGCTGCAGCCGCCAGGGAGGGGGCGCAGGAGGCGCGGGGATCCCCCCGCCGCGCCTTTGACCCGGGGATACCCGGGCCCTCCCCGACCCGGGCGTCCCGGTCGCCCTCACCGTTCCGCCGGCCAGGCTGTTGGCCCGGTCCTCGACACCCCAGGTTTTTGGGACTCCAGCTGCTCCCTGAGAAGCCTGGTCTTCTGAATTTTCCTTCCCTGTCCACCTTAAGGACCTTGGCACCCGGGCATCCAGCTCCCACTCTGTTCTGGAAGCTTGTCAGTGTTCACTCCGTCTGCGGGACCCAGCTGATAGCCTTCACCCCGTCAGGACCTAGGAGCCCAGTTTCCCCGCCTTTGCCCCCTTCCGAACCCAGTTCAACAGCCCCTGTGCCCCTCAGACAAACACACTAAGCTTCCTGTCACCCCAACCTCTGCTCCCTTAGGGACTCAAGCACCATGGCTCTCTTCCTTTCAGGGACCCATAAGCAATTATTAATGCAATTCTTTGATTTCTGTCCATCCTCACCCTTGGAGACCTAGATGTCTTGTCCCCAGTCCTGCATCCCCTTGGGGTCCCAGGAGTTCTGTACTGCCCACCAGCCTTTCCTGAGGCTATCTGCCACAGCCCTCCTTCCAAACAAGGACTCAGGCTCTAAGCTTCTAACCCCCCATCCTCTATCTACACAAGGATCTAGGGGTCCAGGTCCCCAGCCCTGCCCCTCCCCCAGGTATCAAGCCCCTCGGCTTTCACTTTTAGGGACCCAGGTCCTCACAGCCTCATGACCACCCCCATCAACTTCACATCTCCTGTGGCCTTGGCAGACCCCTGTCTCGTCCCCTTATCATCTCAGGTGCTGGGCTTCAGGATTCTCTTCTCTACTCTTTCCAGCAGACCCAGCTTCTTGAGATGTTTCCAGCACCCCATTGCCTCCTGAGGGCCAATCATGGGTCCCATTTTGCAAAAACACTCTCTCAGTCTGAAGAGCCAAACTCACATCACTTCCTCTAGATGTGTTCTGTGGCCTGGGCTCATTAGGTGATCTAGAACCTACTTACTGTCTTCCACATTTCTAATTGCACATGTGCCCTTGCATTGCTCCATGTTCTAGATTCCTTCTAAATTCTAGAACATTCCCCAGTTGACTTCTCTGTGCCGTCTTCATTCAAGGCATGATCTCAGTTCTAGGCAAGATGCTAAATTTGAGACATGTCTTTTCCCAATTATCTTTTCAAATATCTAGATAACACCCTCAAACCACATTCTCATCTCACCCTCTCCTCGGTCATGTTCCAAATTTCTAGCAACCAGTCCTTAACTTCTTTTCTGCTCAATTTTCATTTTATGCATGTTCTAGGTTCCAGCCACATTGTTCTAGATTTCGTTCTCCTCCCAGGGTCCTTCTAACTTAAAAAATGGATGTGTTCCAAGTATGTGCCCTAGCCTTTTCCCGGTTTGTACTATTAATTCTAGGATGCACTTCCCTGGTTTAGGTTCCATCTAATTTCACATTCTGCAGTCTAGGAGATTCCCATTGAAATGTGCTACATTACGTTTTTCTTCCTCAGGTTCTAGGTTCTGGGCCCACTCATTCCCACCTTCTCTGTCCATCTTTTCCCTAGTGCAGCCTTAGTTTAGAACTTTTCCCCTGGTGGATTGTGGGCTTTCTCCTCCATCTGCCACTTGGCATTCTAACTATGTTCTAGGTTCTCTCCTCTTCTGGAGTGTTCAGCCTAGAGATGTTCTTATTTCCAGAACACCTACTCCCCCTCCTTTGACAGCTCATTCTTTATTCCAGAAAATTCTCAATTCTCAACACGCATCCTTTTGCAGTTTCCGCCAGACACTTCTAAGTTTTAGGCAAACTTCTTGCTACTTTCTAGGGTTTTTTTCTCCCCCAGAGCAAGTTCTGAATTCTAGAACATATCTTTTGTTTTCTGAGTTCTATCACTATCTAGACACATGATAAAACAAAGAATGTGACCCCTGCTATATTGTCTGTTATACCTTCATCCCTAGTAGGTTCTGAGTTCTAGATTATATCTCCTGACTACGTTTGTTATGTATTGCATTCGGTATGCTCTTAGGCTCCTGTCTGTGTTTGGGATCCTAGGGTGACCCAGACACTTTTTTTTTTTTTTTTTGAGACAGAGTCTCACTGTGTTGCCCAGGGCGTCATCCTAGCTCACAGCAACCTCAAACTCCTGGGCTCAAGCGATCCTCCTGCCTCAGCCTCCCGAGTAGCTGGGACTACAGGCATGCGCCACCATGCCCGGCTAATTTTTTGTATATATTTTCAGTTGTCTGATTAATTTCGTTCTATTTTTAGTAGAGACGGGGTCTCGCTCTTGCTCAGGCTGGTCTCGAACTCCTGAGCTCAAACAATCCGCCCGCCTCGGCCTCCCTAGTAGCTGGGACTACAGGCATGTGCCACCATGCCCGGCTAATTTTTTCTATATATTTTTAGTTGTCTGATTAATTTCGTTCTATTTTTAGTAGAGACGGGGTCTCGCTTTTGCTCAGGCTGGTTTCGAACTCCCGAGCTCAAACAATCCGCCCGCCTCGGCCTCCCAGAGAGCTAGGATTACAGGCGTGACCCACCGCGCCCGGCCCCAGACACTCTTTATGTTATTGGGTTGCTCTTTGCTGGTTCTAAGTTGTATGTTCCAGCCCTCAGTTCCAGAAAATGCCCCTCTGCTTAGCCCTATGTGCAGTTCTTACCCCAAGCACACTGTGAATATGGAAGCATATGTCTTCTCTGCACTCTGTACTGTGTCTTCATGCCAGTAACTTTCTATAGTCTATGAGTTTTATTTTCTTCTCCGTGACTTTAAGGTTCTAAAGCACCCTCCCTAAAACATCCTGTGTTGCTGTGGGATTTAGATATCATGTTGGTTTTTGGCCTAAGACTAGCCTGCTCTCTTATAAACATTTTCCTGAATCTGGACTCTGAGTGCTGAGATTCACTTGTCTAAATTCTCAGATGCACCACTTCTGAGACCCAAGGGTACAGGCACCCAGCTGCCTCTTCTCCCAGTCCCAGGCCTCTCAGCCTCCTCCTCTCCTCAGGGAGTCCAAGGCCCCAGCCCCAGGCTTTGGACACAGCCCACATAATTGGGCGGGGCTGGGAATTATCCACTCTCAGAACCGGTTATGCCGCTGCCCGCAGGGGGAGAAGGAAAGGAAGGAACAGAGTGAAAGTCCCTCTTGCTTTCGGCCAGGCCAGCTGGACTCGTTGGACCTGATGTGTGGGGAGGGAGGGGCTCAAGGGGCCTCGCTTCATCTCTGCCCCGCCCCTGGCTCCAGTGACCCAAGCCCTGCCTTCCTGCTCCAGAAACCCCGCCCCTTCCTCCTCCCCCACCCTTGGTTACAGCCCCACAAGAGCTGGGGCTGCGGGCGGAGAGGAGAGTCCAGAACTAGATCTTGGAGAAACTGGGCATCTGGACTCCTAGGCCCTGGGGGAGGAGGGGTCTAAAGGCTGGGATTTGTGGGTCTAAGGAGTAGGATGAGAGCCCAGAATCTTGTCTCCTGGGGGTGTGGTTTCCTGGGATTGGGGAGGAGGGGTCCGGAGGCTCAGACTCTGGTCTTGGGGAGGAAAGGGACTGGGGGTGCTTAGACTCCTGTGATCTGAGGGAGGAGGGAGCTAGTTCTTGGACTCCTGGGTCGTGGAGAGGACAGTCCATAGCTGTGCTTTGTTTCTTCTTCTTCACGTGGAGTGGGTCTTCTGAAGCCAGGGTCTAGATATCTGGGAAATTGCAGGGGGCAGGAGTTGGGCTGGATAGTAGGTGAGGATCATCCCTGTAACGTTATACAGGTAACCACGTCCTTGCGACCTAATTCTGTGTCCCCAGCCCTGTGGCCTCCTTAAAACATGGTTCTGGCAGGGGCCTCAGTTTTCCTACCCATGCAGTCGGTTGAGGGAGATTCTCAGCAAAGCTAGAGTGGGTAGAGAATGTCCCACATTCACTCAGGCAATGCCTGTGTCACCAGCTTCGGTTCCTGAGTGGGCCAGGCCTAGGTTTGCTGCCAGTGTCTTACGGAGTCTGACATCGGTTTCCCCAATGCTCTCACCCAGGTGGCCAGGGCTGTTTTCCTAAGAGCAATGGGTTTCAGTTTATCCTGTGCCATGATTATAGTGGATAGATCTCAGTTTCCCCTGGCAGTAGCTGGTGCCTTGGTTTCCCTGGCAGAGTGCCCGGGTGTTGGTGCCTCAGTTTCCCTGTCATGATCAGAGTGGCTGGGCCTCAGTTTCTTCTGGGCAGTCCCTGGATTGCCTCACCTCGGTTTCCCCTACATAGTATCGGAGTGGCATGCCTCAGTTTCTCTGCCTGTGCCTTGACGAGGCCTGTCTGTTCCCTGCCCCCTCGCCGCACCCTCAGGCCGGCACCGCCGCCATGATGTGCGAGGTGATGCCCACGATCAGTGAGGATGGCCGGCGGGGCTCGGCGCTGGGCCCGGACGAGGCGGGCGGCGAGCTGGAGCGCCTCATGGTCACGATGCTCACGGAGCGCGAGCGCCTGCTCGAGACGCTGCGCGAGGCGCAAGACGGGCTGGCTACGGCGCAGCTGCGGCTGCGCGAGCTGGGCCACGAGAAGGACTCGCTGCAGCGTCAGCTCAGCATCGCCCTGCCTCAGGTCTGGGCGGGGCCGGGGCGGGGCCTGAGGGAGGCGGGACCCCGCGGAGAGGGCGGCCCGGAAGGGGCAGGGCTTGGCACCTGAAAGGGAGGGGGGTCTGGGCGGGGCCTGTGTTGATGGGCGGGGCCTGAGCGGCCAGAAGGAGCGCGACTCAGCGGGGAGGGCGGGGCCTTCAAACTTCCAGTCCCATGAAATGAAGGAGAGAGGGAAAGGATTGATCTGATTGTCCCGTTCCTGCCCGTACCTGGACAGGAGTTTGCAGCTCTGACAAAGGAGCTGAACTTATGTCGGGAGCAGCTGCTGGAGAGGGAGGAAGAGATTGCTGAGCTGAAGGCTGAGCGGAACAACACGCGGGTGAGGAGAGTTAGGGGCGTGGACTTAGCGGGGTGGGCGTGGCCTTGTGGGTTGCAACCCCACCCATCTCCCCACGCCATCGTACACGCCGCATCTCCTCTGCAGGTCTTTTCCTCTTCCCTGCTCCCATTTCCTGGCTGGTCTACTCCTCTGGTCCCACTCCTTCCGTGTTCCCTCTCTATTTCCATAACTTTCTCTTCTTTCTTCTGTTCCACTCCTTCCTTGACTCCTACCCTTCCCTTTATTATCCCTCTATTTTACTGACCTGACTCTCTCGCCCCTTCACTTGGCTCCATTTCTTCCTCCCTGTGTCCGTCCCACCTGTCCCTTTTCCTCAATCCTGCCCCTTTTCCCTTGCTTCTTTTTCTTGACCCGTTGCCCTATCCCTGTAGCTCCTCCTGGAACACCTGGAGTGCCTGGTGTCCAGGCACGAGAGGTCACTGCGCATGACCGTGGTGAAGCGCCAGGCCCAGTCCCCAGGCGGGGTCTCCTCTGAGGTGGAGGTGCTCAAGGCTCTAAAGTCCCTCTTCGAGCACCACAAGGCCCTGGATGAGAAGGTATGGGAATTGGAAAAGCCGGGGGAAGAATGGAAACCCGTGGTTGACTGGGGCTGTCCTGAACGGGAGGGATTCTGGCTGTGACTGGTTGGGGAGTGGGAAGAATGTTGACTGTGACTGATTGGGACAGGCTACGAGGACAGGGACCTGACTGGTTTAGAATAGAAAAATGAACTAGGGTGGGGGCTACCAGTGGGTGGGGCTGTCTGGGTAGCTGGTTGGGGCTGCACTCCCATTACGGAGAGAGGAATCCTGACGTTGCCCTATCAGAGCTGTCCCGGGGTGCTCTGGGCCAGGGTCAACTGTCCTAGATTACGGGGGTGTCTGGTCTCCATCTGACTCCTGTCCTGTCCCCATCCCCAGGTCCGGGAGCGGCTGCGGATGGCGCTGGAGCGAGTGGCAGTACTAGAGGAGGAGCTGGAGCTGAGCAATCAGGAGGTGGGGGCGTGGCCAAGAAGGGGAGGCGCTAAAGGGTGGTCAATGGTGCAGAGCTGATTGGGTGGGTTCCAGAGAGAACCTATTGGGGCAGGACTAGGACAGAGAACCAATGGGGCTGTACTATGGAGAGAAACCAGCAGGGGTCCTAAGGAGGAACTCAATTGGGAATGCTAAGGGGAGAGACCTAGGTGAGAACCAGGGCCTGAGATTCAGGCTGGGAATGGGGAGGAGCTGGTTGGATCGGGAAAGGCGGGGCTAAAGAGGAGCCCTCCACCAGGAGACTAAGAGTAAGGGTAAGGGTAGACT